CGCGCCTGGGAAGCCCACGCTGGTGTGCTCCAGCGCGGTGGGGAGCTGGTCGTACTCGCAGCAGAGGCGGCAGAGGGTGTGCTCCGGGGAGGGCCCGCCCCCGCCTCCGCCCCCGCCCAAGACCGACCTCATGGCCTTCAGCCCCAGCGTACCTCAGGGTCCCAGCTCTGCAGGCACTGTGAGTCTCAAAAATAATTTTCACAATAATTTTCGTTTTAAATCTTTAATATTTATTATTTCCCTCCATCTTCTTTTTTATCTTTAATTATGTTTTTTTTTTTTCTTGAGAGTGAATGAGTTTATCAGCTCTTTCCTGAGAACAGTTTTTCAGAAAGAGGGTGAAGGGGTGCACAAAATGGCACCGAGCTCTTGGCCGAGCAGCAGGCCAAGGAAGCGAGAGGCAAAGAAAGCAGGGAGACAGGACACACGGAAGACACAGGGCAACGCCTGGACAATCTGGCCTCAGCAAGCTGGCAGGCCCCAGGGGCTGAGGTTCGTGGCTCCAGGCCTCAGTGAGGGAGAGACATCACAGGCATTTAATAATAGTTTTATACTTGATTATTATCTCATCATTTCAGATGTAAGTTCTGTATTGGTACCAATTCATTTACTTAAAATTACAGTTATGCTTAGAATTCATTTTAATTTGTTGCAGATAATCGCTTTGCAGTAATGAATATATTTCAGTAACATTCCCTTTTTTAAGGTTTTCAAAGTTGGCATGAATGGATTACTTTTCTTTGCATGATAGAAATTGTTTCCTAAATCAAATTTTAATATTTTAATTTTTCAGTCTTTAGGAAATGTTGTAGGGAGATACTTGTATGACATATTTGGAGTTATTTACCTTCAAATCTCATATTGCGACTGCGTTGAAATGTTTTAATATAGCTATGTCACTTTGCCTTTTCTTTTCCATTGAATATCAGTTATTTTAGTGTTTTTTAACACCAAATTAATTTCCTTTTTATGTAATATTTGTACACTGAATTATTCTTTTAAGGTTTCTCTAAACAGTTTTCTTTCGCATGCTTA